AACAAGGTGGTTGGAGAAATCCTTCCCTGTCAGGACATTGTCATTTGACAGCGGGACTCGGCACTGTTGGAATACAGTCTAATGATCAACTTCTGTCAAACAAGGACAGCCACCCCCTGATGGAAATTTGGACGGTCTTTGCTGAACTGACTAAATTTCAATCCATCCATTTTTTTAGCACTATCTATAGGTTTAGGTCATATTCATGTCAAGGTGTTTTTCCTCTTGCAGCTTTTTTTCTTTTTTTTTAATGAAAGGAAATGCATGCCGATGCACATTATCGCACAGGGTGCGTTGTAACACACTTTGCATTAAATGTCACCGTGTGTCATAAAAGGCTTTGATGTGTCAAAACGTGGTGATGTGTGTTATATAAGGTGTATATAGCGCCATCAATTTACATATATTTTGTACATTCACATCAGTCCCTAACCCTCAAGGAGCGTACAATCTAAGATCCCTAACTTACTAACATACATACACATACTAGATAGGAGCCAATTCACCTACCAGCATGTCATTGCAGTGTGGGGGGAAACTGGAGTACCCGGAGGAAACTCACACAGGCACAGGGAGAACATGCAAACTCCAGGCAGGTGGTGCGTGGTTGGAATTCGAACCAAGGACCCTAGTACTGCCAGGCGGAAGTGCTAACCATTTAGCCACTGTGCTAATAAAAAATAAAATTTGTTTTTTATTAGAAAATGCATCATGGAAAACACAACAGGTGTGAATCCAGCCTAAATGATTCCTTTTAACTACTTAATTTTGATTTACACCTTCTGTTAGAGCAGTCAGAAAAGTCATTATGCTGGATAACACATGAACAAATTATCCAGTAAACTGATCAATACATCCCAGTGATTTCCTCGTTCTTCACAGCTGTGCCATAGACAAATACATGCTGTGCAAGCAGTACAATGAAAATGACATTTAACCAAGCAGCATTTGCACTGGAATGCAAACAAATATCAGCTTCATTGTGGTTAATTACTGTACATAACAGATGCAATGAATCATTTTTTGAAGATTTAGATGAATACCAAATAATTTTGCACAATAGACATCAGAGTAATCGACAGATTTAGAACTTTAAATACTCTAACCGTAAAAGTTTTTTTTTTTTTGATGGAGTGCAGGGGGATTACAACATCTGTCAGTTTTTTTATTGCCGTTTGTGCCCCTGTTCGGGAGATGCATCCTCTATTTCTCCTGTTTACTATTATCTTTGAAAGTAAAGGAAAATCCCATGTTTTGGGTTTATATCAGAACACTAATAGAGGCGAAATCTTCCAATGGGAACACTAGTTGTGGTGGCCCTGGTGTTGCACCAGGATTCTCTCACTTTGCAGGGATTTCCTCTCACTTCTTCCTGTTTTGGATGTTGGACAATAAGTGAAGGGAAATCTCCCCAATGTGACAGATATTTAAAAAATACAGGGGGTTTTAACCCTCCCTATGCTGAACTTAAAATGGGGGGGGGGGGGCTTTACATTTTTTAGTTACAATTGTATTGAAAATCTAGGCCCTTACATAAATATATATATATATAAACCTTAGTGTTACTAAACCCAGGACCCTGAATGCACTATATCTGGTCTCCCACAGTACACACAACATGGAAATGCAATTTTTTAAGTAAATATAAACGGCTAAATACCTTTTCTCATTAGAAGTTAGAGCAGTCTTGTGGCTTCTATCAGTGTTCAGCCAAGCACTAGCTAAAGCTTGTAGGAGGAGTTTTCCTTCTGCTCTAGGAGGATGTAAAACCCCTGACCTCTGGTGTGTATTGCTAATCAGCACTGGTCAGACAAACTGAGCATGTGCAAAATGCTTATGGTTCAGTCTGTTATCAGGAGATAAGAGGTTATCGCTTGAAAAAGGGGAGGAACATAGAAGAAAGGATCAAACTGCCTTTTTACGCAATGCAGAGGATTAACTTCTTATGTTCCACAGAGAGTATGACAAGCATGCTTTTACAGGCTGATTTTACTGTTGTGGGTTTAGTAACATTTTAAAACCAATAAAATTGGAAATCAGACTGTGGGGTGCAGTGTAATATATTACTTGTGTGGTGGCAGCATTGGTTTCCTTTAAAGCAGCATTAGGCTCCATGCACATTTTGTTTTTATTAGATCAAAAACTGCTGGATGAAAAACTCTGATATTATTATTATTATTATTATACAGTATTTATAAAGCGCCAATAGTTCACTCAGCGCTGTACATTACAAAGGGGGGCAGAACATGTGACAGAACAATAACAATACAATGCAAAACATGAGGGGATCGAGGGCCCTGCTCTTTGGAGCTTACAATCTAGGAGGGAGGGGATAGTGGTACAGGAGGAGATAGCTGTGGGGGATGGAGTGGTAGGAAGAGTGGAGGAGGTCGGCAGGTTAGCAGGGGGTAGGGTAAGCTTCCCTGAAGAGATGGGTTTTCAGGGTGCGCCTAAAGGAGAGGAGAGTAGGTGATAATCTGATGGGTTGGGGCAGGGAGTTCCAGAGGATGGGTGACACCCTGGAGAAGTCCTGGAGACGGTCATGGGAGGAGGAGACCAGGGAACTAGAGAGAAGGAGGTCTTGTGAGAAGCGGAGTGTGCGTGTTGGGCGGTACTTGGATATTAGGTCGGTGATGTAGTTCGGGGCAGTGTGGTGGACGGCTTTGTACGTCAGTGTTAGGATTTTGAATTTGATCCGTTGCGCAATTGGAATAACAGTGTTTTTGTGCCAGCTTGCAGCACAAAAACACTATTTATTAGCTTTAGTGTTTTTACAGCACATGAAGGGGAAAAAAAACTGTTAGGAGTGTTTTAGTAGCATTTGGGTGCATTCAGTGTTTTTTCTGCTGAAAAAACTGTCCACAAAACTCTACAAAAACTCATTTTTTATTTTCTGCTCCTAGAAGCTGAAGCACAAAAAACCGCTGCTGGCCTAAAGTCGTGTTCATGAGCACATAGGATAACACTATTTGGCTTTTAGGAGCAGAAAAAAAAATGCTAATACCAGCTTCTTGGAGCTTTAGGCTACGTTCACACTAGCTCTGTTAACAGGCGTCAGACAGGCGTTTGGGAAGCGTTTTTAATGCTTCTCTAACGCCTCTGAAAATTCTGCACATGGCAACACACGGTGCTGTTCACACGGAAACGTTAGCGTCGCATCGTGGCAAAACGGATGCCTCTGGTCAAGTCAGGAGGAGTTGAAGCCTCCAATTCAAGTCTATGGTGCCGCTCCACAAACATCTAGCCAGCGTTTGCGGAGCGTTAACACCATTTAAACTTCATTATAAGCATTTGTGGTGCGGTTTTAACGCTTGGCAAACACCTACCAACTGCCGCAAAAACAGCGCATAGGGCGGTTTTGGAGCGTTAAAAACGCTTTACAAACGCCTGTCTAACGCTTGTCAAACGCTATAGGGGTGTTTTGGCAAGAGTTAGAAATAAAGTCAAGTGTGAACGAGCCCTAAGAAGAACATAGTGTGCATGGAGACTTAAACCCCAAAGCAAAAAAAGTTCTCTTTTGTGGCTTACCAACTCTTAGATCCCCAAATAAAAGGAAAAGGAAAGAAAACGAATACATCTAAATGACATCTGACTAGTAAGTTCATTTTTCAACTTCCTTTAAAGAATATGTAAACCCAGCATGTCGTATATCTGATCTGTGCCTGCTGTACCATGTACTTTTGTGAAAAAGTGTCCTGTTCCCTTTTATATTGCTTTCTTTGTGTGAAATCCCTGGTGTGAAATACCTGGTGTTCATGACAGTCCCTCTGCTTTCCTGTTAAAAACAGACCACACTAAGCAGGAGAGCACAGCATGGTCAGTTCTCTAGTTGTGCTGGGAACTGAGCCTGCTCTCCTTCAATGATCAGGCATGTCCTGACACCCTCCTTCTCCCACACAGCCTTTCACTAGGAAGATCAGTGTCCTGCTGTTTCTCCTCTCCTAGCTCTTATGCAGCTGAGAACAGAGTATGTGATCACTTTAAAAAGGAAAAAAAGGGTCTGTGACATGCAGAGATGCAGGTGAGGAGGGACAGAATTGTCACCCTAGGCCAGGGGTAGGCAACCTGCGGCTCTCCAGCTGTTGCAGGACTACAAGTTCCATCATTCCTCTGCAAGTCATAGCTGTAACTGTCAATTTTGTAATGTCTCATGGGAAATGTAGTTCCACAACAGCTAGAGAGCCGCAGGTTGCCTACCCCTGCCCTAGGCTGCTCTCTCGAGTAACCTACAATACCTCACCCTTTCCTTAACTCTATGTACAGCATAGGGGAGTTGATTTGTGGTTAGCGTTGGATATCTGGGACGGCCGATAACATGGTTGGGGGTTTACCTGTGAATGCGCCCTAAGAGCTGTGCTCCTACAATTACATATGAGCACTGGTGCTATTTTTCATAGGTAACATCCAAATGCCTTTTCTTGATGAGTTTGTTCAGCTCCTCATTTGATGCAGTGTACCATGGCTTTCTAGGAAGTGGCCACTTTTTATGACTGCTTATTCTCATAGGTAACCCCCAAAATGCCATAACCTCTGAGGAGATAATGATTTCATGAAATCAATTGGACAGTATAGGCCAACCAATGACGTCCACTGTCCGGTGTTATTTGTACAGTAAAGGTCTCTCTGTTGGGAAGTTACAATGGCTTGTTTGTTTCCAGCAGCAGCTGCAAATTTTGTATCTAGTTAAACAAAGCGTCATTTCTTTTTGACTAGGGTTATGTATGAAACAATTTCTAATAAGCTCTTAGAAATCCTTCACAATGGTTTACAACTCCAGCGTTCCTCAGTGTGGCAGATGTTAAGTCTGCAATAACTGTCACTGTTCTACAGAATGATTTACAGCTTTTATTCCGAATGGAAATAATATTCGTTCGCACAGAGTGGTCTGATCCTCCTGTGGAAGGGCTGCATGTCAAGGGGGTGGTTTTGCAGGACTTGCTGAAGTAGCACAGAAATTTCGTCAAGTTTGTTCTTTCACCATGAGTAATACGCTGCCGACTATGCGAAGCCTTGAGAATGTTTGTTTTGTTGCTTCCTTCGCAGTCCCTGCTGATCTGACTCCTGAAGAGCGCATCGAGTTGGAGAATATCCGCCGCAGGAAACAGGAACTGCTGGTGGAGATCCAGAGGCTCCGGGATGAGCTGAGTGAGGCCATGAATGAAGTGGAAGGCCTTGAGGCCAACGAAGGAAGGTATGACTTCATCATCCAAGTGGACATATTGTACTTTATTTATAAACATGTCAAATCTTAGTAGTGCAGATACCAAGCTCTTGTACATTCATCTAAGCACCTTGTTCTAATAGGTGTTGAGTCCTGCAAGATACAGGTTTTCATGCTATCACTTGCTTTAAGATCTTCTGTAACCGTAAAGCTTCTGTTTTTCTTTCTGTAAACTTCAGCAGTAAGAACACCCCATTGGTCAAGGAGCAGTCTCTTGCACCAGAAAGAGAATATGGAAACCATTAATTTTTTAACATCAATTGCATTGGAAAAAAAATAGAACGAATCATTTTGGTATGTTGGCGGCCCCATTATTTTTAGTGGGCTGCCTTAACGCAACACACCCTTACACAAGGCAAACCCCAGCTGATGCATTGCAAAAATGTAAACAGGCCCTAATAGTTCTTACTGATAGAAGTGTCATCATTTAGAATGTTTCTTTTATGTTATCCTTTTGGAGAGGAAGAGAGACTGACATTCCTAAAGGGGCCAGAGCAATTAAACATCAGAGGGTCTCATTTTTTCCCATTCTGAAAATCTAAGAATTTAGTTTGAGTTTCACTTTTACAGTGTGCAATAACCTATAGCAACCAGCATTTCTTTCATTTCTGAATAGCATTTAAATAATACGCTCTTCAATTCACGTTATTTATATTTTTTAAAGTTAATAGGAGGTCTTATCCATTCCATACCATAAGTTTTTTTTTTTTTTTTTTTTTTTTAACGCTGTTACTGTTGGGAGAATTTTCCCTTCACTTTTTGTCCAATAAATACAACAGGAAGTTGGAGAATTTGTCCAAAGTGAGCATATAACCCCTCTTGGACAGTCGTCACCAGATTAGATGCTTTCACAGACCGATAATGGCCTGTTTACTAGCCAAAAGTGACTTCAATCACTTCTGGTTTCTTAGACCATAGAGATGATCGGGGGTCCTTGGGTCATGCATGGTAAAACGGCAGAAGCACCGACTTGAGTCCCGGCCTCCTTGGTTGGATGGTAGATCTGTGAGGGGTGGGGGATGACGACACCCCTGTCAACTGCATGTAAAAGCATGCTTGGATTGCTTTTAAACTAATCAGTATCACTGGCTGAAAAGATTGATACTGGGGTCATGACTGCAGCTGCCTTGGCCCTGGAATAACCACTGAAACGTAACAACATTATGGGTACGACCATTTGAGGGAAGTGGGTAAATAGGGCCGTTTTCTCTAGGTCAGTGGGAAATTTACTCCTTTGCATTGGTTTTTGTTGATAACTCCCACTGCCCTCAGAGTCCCCTACGAGACCAGGTAGAGAGAGCAGCGGCTCTGTAGAGGGGGTACAATGCTGGATTGGAAGAGGTAAGTGGTTAGGAATGGGGGTGAGGGAGGAAAGTTGGAAGGTTATTTCCCTTAAAGCGGAGCTCCACCCAAAAGAAGTTCCACTTTAATGCTTTGTCCCCCACTCCCCATTAAGAATTGGCACCTTTGGGGAGTGGGTACCCGAATTTGACAGGTTCCCACTTCCGCTGCGATCGCCTAGGTGATCATAAGCAGAAGTTGTCTTCAACCACTTTCTCCCCATAGTTTTCTGGGACATGTGACAGGTCCCAGAAGACTACGGGGCCATTCACAAAGTGCAGCGCCTCTCACGCATGCGCAGTGGGCACCAGGCTGTGAAGCCGCAAGCTGTCACAGCTGGGTGCCCACACTAAAGTTGCCGGTGCCAGGGAGAGATGACAGTCGGTGAAGCCAGCCATGGTGAGGACACCTCTGGACCGAGGGACAGGTAAGTGTCTGTATTTTAAAAGTCAGCAGCTACAGTTTTTGTAGCTGCTGCCTTTTATTTTTTTCAGCTGGAACTCTGCTTTAATGCAGAGAATGCATTAAGGTAAAAAAAAAACCTTTTAAAATTAGAACTGCTTTAACCACTGGACAAAAGGATTTTACAGCAAGTACAAAAGTCCCTTTTTATTATCCCCCTTCGTCCGTCCTGTTTATCATTTGTAGTCTGAATAACTGATGCATCTTTATAATGTCACTGCCATTCATATTCTATTATACATGTAGCCAGGGTGTATAGTTTTTAGTGGCAGGACATGGAAAGTAGTTACAATAGTCATATAGATATTGGGACTTGTAATGAGTAATAAGAGCAGCACTAAAACCACAAATACGAAATATTACTGATACTAGAATATTATTGTTTTGTCGTAACAAGAAGTTATCAGGTTTTGTGCTGTTTTGTTACTTGCAGATATATGGTCATTTGCATTTTTCTTTTTTTTTTCTTGGCAGTAAAACTTTGCAAAGGAATCGTAAAATTGGAATGGGCAGAAAGAAGTTCAATATGGATCCTAAAAAGGTATTTAAACGTTTTGGTGGGGGAACAAGTTTATAATAGCTATAATTAGGCTTTACTCCATAAGCACTGATTTTAGTGTACAAGTAAATCTGTCGTAGACCTGGGCAAATCAGATTAACCGTTTGAAGAAAAATGCAAAAGTTGAGGACCAGCTCATTGTTACATGGTTAGTTTGGCTGAAAAAAAGACTAAAGTCCATCCAGTTCAACCATAAAAAAAAGTTATATTCCTATACCCACAGTTGATCCAGAGGAAAGCAAAAAAATTCAGCAAAGCATGAACTAATTTTGGTCCTGCAGGGGAAAAAATTCCTTCCTGATCCCTTGAGAGGCGATCGGATATTCCCTGGATCACCTTTACCTATACATGTTAGTATCCGGTTATATTCTGTGCATCCAAGAAAGAATCCAGGCCTTTTTTTTAAAGCAATCCACTGAGTTGGCCAGAACCAACTCTTGAGGGAGTCTATTCCACATTTTCACAGCTCTTACTCTGAAGAAACCTTTCCGTGTTTGGAGATTAAATCTCTTTTCCTCTAGACGTAAAGAGTGCCCCCTTGTCCTCTGTGAAGGCCTCAGGGTGAATAACTCTACACCGAGTTCACTATATGAACCACTGATGTATTTATACATGTTGATCATATCCCCCCTTAATCTCCTCTTCTCAAGAGAGAAGAAATTCAGTTCCTCTCTTTCCTCATAGCTGATCTCCTCCATGCCTCGTATCAGTTTGGTTGCCCTTCTGTGCACTTCCCAGTTCCCCAATGTTCTTTTTGTAAATTGGTGCCCAAAACTGAACTGCATATTCCAGATGAGGTATTACTAATGATTTGTACCGGGGTAAAATGATCCCTCTCCTCTCCGAGGATTTTGCTCGCTTTAGAAACCGCAGCTTGGCATTGCATGCTATTATTAAGCTTGTGATCTACAGAGAACTCCCAGATCCTTCTCCACCATTGATTCTCTCAGTTGTACCCCCCTAGTATGTATGATGCGTGCATAACCTTACATTTATCAACATTAAATCTCATTTGCCACATAGTTGCCCAATTACACAGTGCATTGAGGTCAGTTTGTAAGTTGGAGACCTCCTGTAGCCCTAGACCATTAACCACTACTCTCTTAACCACTAGTCTACAGGGCACTTATACCCCCTTCCTGCCCAGGCCAATTTCCAGCTTTCAGCGCTGTCACACTTTGACAATTACGTGGTCATGCAACACTGTACCCATATGAAATTTTTATCACTTTTTTGTGACAAAGCTTTATTTTCGTGGTATTTAATCACCTCTGGGTTTTATTTTTTCTTAAACCAAAAACCACTGAAAATTTTTGGGGAAAAAAAGTTTTTTCTTAGTTTTTGTTATAAATTTTGTAAATAAGTGATTTTTCTCCTTGACTGATGTGCGCTAATGAGGCTGCAGATATGGCACTGGTATGGGCACTGGTAGGTGGCACTGAAAGGCGGCACTCATATATGGCACTGATAGGCGGCACTGACTGGCATTGATGGGTGACACTAAAAGGCAGCTCAGATGGGCACTGATATGTGGCAGTGATGTGTACTGGTGGGCACTGATATGTGGCATTGATGTGCACTGGTAGGTACTGAAATGTGGCACTGATGGGCACTGGCAGGTGGCATTGATGAGCACTGAGAGCTGGCACTGATGGACACTGACAGGTGGCACTGTTGGGCTACACAGATCATCAGGGCACATTGATCATCAGTGCTCTGATGATCTGTGTACATGTCCCCTCTGAGGAATGCTGGCTACCGGCTCTCCTCTTGAGCTGTTAGTGTGACAGCTCGTGAGGAGAGAAATGCTGATAACCGGCATTTCCCTGTTTACATGTGATCAGCTGTGATTGGACACAGCTGATCACATCACCGAGCCGACATCTTCGGCTCTTTCTGTTGATCGGTGATCCGCTGTGTCCGATGGACATAGCCCACTGCAGATCGCCATGCTGCGCGCTCCCGGAGCCGCGCATGCGTGGTTAGAATGGGAGGATGTCATATGACATTCTCCCAGACCGAGAGAACCGCCTTGCGCCCATCGTTGTACTATATGGCAGGTGGGAGGTGGTTAATTTTTAAACTGGTCTTTTTGCCAGTTTTCTATCCATTTATATATGCATTTTGTCAAGCCTGTAGACTTTACCTTACACATTAGCCATGTGTGGGGAACTGTGTCAAACGCTTTTGCAAAATCCAAGTATACCTCGTCCACCACCACCCCTCTGTCCAAGGTTTTTCTCATTTCTCATTAAAAAAAAATTAGATTTGTTTGACAACTTCTGTCTTTCATGAATCCATGCTGTCTGTTGCTTAAAATGTTTTTTTTTCCAGCAAGAACTCATCTATGTGGTCTTTTATATTAAACTCTCCAGTATCTTCCCAACTATAAATGTTAAACTAACAGGTCTATAATTACTTGGTAAAGATTTTGATCCCTTTTTAAATATAGGCACCACATCGGCCTTCTGCCAATCCAGTGGTACTATGGCAGTCATTAATAAGTTCCTAAAAATTAGAAACAATGGCTTTGAAATGACAGAGCTCAATTCTTTAAGGACCCGTGGGTGTATGCCGTCCAGGTGCTTTATTCACCTTTATTCTGTCTAAATATTTCTGGATCGTATCAGTTGTTAGCTAATGTGGATCATCTGGAGCTGTGTCATAACCATGCCCATTATGGACAAGAGCTCCCCCATGCTCCTTTTTGTATACACAAAGCTAAAGAAGGTATTTAATATACGTACCTTCTTTGTCCCCAGTTACCCACTCTACATTATTTTGTAAAGGGCCTACATGCTCAGAGCTCACCTTTTTACTAATCTATTTGAAGAATTTTTGGGGGTTTGTCCTGCTATCTTTTGAAAGGTGTCATGGTTTTTTTTTTTTTTTATGCCAATATTCCCACCCAGTCTAAGTCTTAGAAAATTAGCTCTTTTTGTTTTTCCCCTATGTGCTTGTTGTTTACAGCTAACAATAAATGAAATCATGTTATGGTCACTGCTATCCAGATGTTGTTCTTTTATATGGACATTAGTAATAAGCTCTGCATGGTTTGAGATTACCAAGTCCAGCAGAGCATCATTCCTCGTTGGGGCCTCTATGAACTGTACCATAAAATTGTCCTGTAGTAGGTTTATAAATGTTTGCCCTTTAACTGTTCCTGCAGTGTCATTACTCCAGTCAATTTCTGGGTAGTTAAAATCCCCCATTATTATTATTGTTCTAATATCTAATAAAGAGTTAAATAAATTCATACAGAGCTCACACCTTAAAGTGTTACTAAACACACAACAGTAAAATTAGTCTGTATATGCAGTAAAGCATGCTTGTTATACTCGATGTGGAACCTAACGGGTTAATCCTCCACATTGTGTAAAAAGGATGTTTGGTCTTGTCTATTCTGATCCTCCTCTTTTACCATTCCCAATCCATCTGCTGATAGAACAGAACAGAGCCTTGGGGCAAGCTGCCCATGCTCAGTTTGGTGTGTATTGCTAGAGAGTGGGGTGTTTTGTGGGTCACAGGAGTGCACTTTTGGTATCCTGTGACCCAGGACTAAGAGCGGGCTATTGTGAGCTATTGGCTGCTATCGGCTAACGTCACAGAGCTTCTCCAGGCTCTAGAAGGATCCTGCCCATGTTGCTGAGATCTACCCATCTGTGTGATTGACAGTTGGCTTCAGCTCTTGGCAAGCTGTGCCAACCCCCTCTTCTGCCTGGTGGTCCAGTGAGTGCTGGAGGGCAGAGCAGTGACTGCTTTCTGCTCTGAGCTGACAGAGAACTGAGCATCCAGCAGTCATGAAATCTCTCAGTTCTTGGGTTTAGTTCCAGCGGGGGTATGAACCTCTGTTCTTCAGCTGAAGCGTCAGACAGATGATGCAACATGGACGTGAGTATGTATGTTTTCTTTTATATACACATATTTCTTCAATGGGGACAAAGAAATAAATGCACAAAGAAATATGTAGCAAGCGAACAATATGAAACTGCCTCCTGTTACCTGGCCTTGGCACTGGCTTTATGGAGTGCTTATGTTCTCCCGCACGGTGACTTCTAATGTGCTGTGCAGGAAGGAAGTCTTAAAACTTGCATGCCTTTCAAATAAAGGGTGATGTAATCCCTTTCAATTAGTAAGTTGACAGAAAATTTGTAATATGCTTATAAATAAAATGTAAAAAAAAAAAAAAAAAAACTGTCCAACACTTTTTTTTTTTTTTCCTCATTTGATTCCAGGGGATCCTGTATCTTCAAGAGAATGATCTGCTAAGAAACACTCCAGAGGATATAGCTCGCTTTTTATACAAAGGCGAAGGCCTGAATAAGACTGCCATTGGAGACTATTTAGGAGAGAGGTACACTCACTTTTGTACATAAGAATATTTGAGTTCCAACAGGAAAAAGTTTATTTGAGAAATGAAAAAAGGTACTATTGTGCTTATGGGTATAATCAATATTAACAAAGAACCATTTGCAGCAGTCCTAATTGTGAACTAATACACACCACATCATAACTGAATACCCTATGGACTGCGCATAAATAGTGCAAAATAAAAAACTCCATCTTATGGAGCGAAAAATACGGTAATATCAGTATCAATATTGCTTTTCATATATTGCCAAACTTTTTTCCCCCCAAAAAAAGGAGGAAATGTCAGTGCGTCTTATGGAGCGGCCGGTCCGGTATTGCTGCTGCCGTGTCAGAATACCAGGCCAGCCGCTAGTCTTTTCTCTGCAGTAGAACCTTGCCTGTTCCTAGGTCCAGCACTGTAGTCTTCCCGCGCTGGTGTCTTTAGTGTGGGCTCTCGGCTGTGACAGCCGGGTGCCCAGTGCGCATGCACGAGAAGCACTGCGCTTTGTGAATGGTAAGGCGTCTTCTAGAACACATGACAGGTCCCAGAAGACGCCGGACCAATCACAAAGCGCAGCACTTCTCGCGCATGTGCAGTGGGCACCCAGCTATCAGCAGTAGAACAATGACAGCTGGAAACTATGGGCATTTCAGATGCCTTACTTTTTTCCATGTTAGGCCAAGTGCACTATTGCTTTTGTATCATTGTGCAGTTGTTGCTTCAGGTTGATCATACGGGAATCCCTGCCCACTTTTCACTTACTGGACTACAGATCACCTCCAGTCTCCTTATCTCTGGAACATTAGAAGGCAGAGTTCTGTACTAGAGGAGAACTTGGGCAGGACTGAAAAGACTGCTAAGGGATATCCGTGCAGCAAGACTACAGAAAGTTGGGAGAAGATTGGTACTGTTTCACTGTGTATGTTTGCTTTGCCCAGACCAATACTTTAATTTAAAGAAATATATATGTCCCTGGACTCCCTTTACTGCTGGCCATGTTATTGTATTATATTAGAATTGAGGTATTTACTTTTCTTCCACTTACAAGCCAATGTGAATGCAAAAACAACTCAAATTTTAACCAGTTATGTACATTTTCCTAAACCTTTAAGCAAATGCTTATAATATTTATTTAGTTATTTTAAATTGCTATTTCATTGTGGGGAAAAAAAATTCCAGCCTAATATTTTTGGGATATACTGGGGAAATGTTACAATCCCTCTTCAGTTGATCCTCTCTGTGTTCCAGTTATGGCAATCATTACTCATTTCCTCTGTGGTTACCTAAACATTAAACACAGATGGCCATAAAGCTCTTCTAATAAGGGAGAGTTAGAAATTCTATCAGGTTTCTATTACTGTCAGTGTCCCTGCTGGGAAATTTACTCTGACATCCTATGTGTCACTGAGACACAAGAAGCAATAAAAGCCAATCACAGGTCATCACTCAATTGAAAAAGTTGTTGTTGCTGAATTTTTAACTTGTATAGTTTGGTTAACAAGATATTCAGATCTGTTTAAAGTTCAGAGTATAAAAGGCATGTCTTTTATATGTATCAAATTGTTTTTATATGTATGCTGGTACAGAAAGTGTGTGTGTGTATTTTATACACACGTTCGAAAATTTTTTTATATTTTTTTATTTTTTTTTTAGGGAGGACTTCAACATTTCTGTTCTTCATGCTTTTGTGGACCTTCATGAGTTTACAGACCTGAATCTTGTTCAAGCTCTCAGGTCAGCTGCTTGTTTCTATAGATTCTGCTGTAAAACCACTGGCAGGTTTTTTTTTTTTTTTTTTTTTTTTTTTTTGTCTTGCTTATGTGCAAAGAAACAGGAAGGCTAATCTAAAAGAGGAAGTGGTCGGTTTTACCGGACAGAATAAGCCAGAGTCTATTCAGGAAACTAAAACAAGTGGTGGCGATGAGGAACCATTCTGCTTAAAATGATCTGAAATGTAGATATGGTGTACTGTGTAATACTTCATATATAGTTACAGTATAGACACAATGCAAGGCTTATACACAGTACAAACCCAGAGTAGACTTTATCTTGCAATTATACATAATGTTTGAAAGTGTCTTGACTGTTTGTTTATTTATATCTACATGCGGTAGTCTGTACTTCTGTGTAATCAAGCAACTTCGTTTTACTTGAAGCTTATCTGCTAGATAGTCTTTCAAAACAAGCAATGCCCATTCACATTGGATGACTATTAAACGTTTATTAACCACTTGAGCTCCTGAGGATTTATCCCCCTTAATGACCAGGCCTTTTTTTGCTGTTTGGCGCTGCACTAATTCAAATAATAATTGCGCAGTCATGCAATGCTGTACCCAAACTAAATTTACGTCCTTTTTTTCACATAAATAGAGCTGTCTTTTGGTGGTATTTGATCACCTGTGCGCTTTTTATTTTTTGCGCTATAAACAAAAAAAACCCGAAAATTTTGAAAAAAAACCCAATATTTTCTACTTTCAGCTATAAAAAATATATCGTAAACTCAAAGTTAGTCATAGATTTAAGCCAAAATGTATTCTGCTACATGTTTTTGGTAAAAAAAAATCCCATGCATTAGCGGGCAAACTGGCGCTATCTGGGAGGGGCACTAACACTAGCGGAAGTCACCAGTGACACTAATACAGTGATCAGTAAAAATCTGTCCACTGTAATCAATGACACTGGTGACAGGGCAGTGAAGGGGTTAACTGGGGGTGGGGGGCGATCAAGGGGTTAAATGGGATTACTGGTGTACTGGCGGGCAAACTGGTGCTATCTGGGAGGGGCGCTAACACTATTGGAAGTCGCCAGCGACACTGCGTGACACAAAAATCTGATACAGTGATCAATAAAAATGGGATCGGTTCACTGGGCATCATCTGGGACTAACTGGGAAGTGATACAGTGGCAGTGAAGGGCAGTGAAGGGGTTAACGGGGGGGGGGGGGAGAGTGATCAAGGGGTTAAACGGGATTACTGGTGTACTGGCGGGCAAACTGGCGCTATCTGGGAGGGGCGCTAACACTATCGGAAGTTGCCAGCGACGATGATACAGTGATCAGTAAAAATCGGTTCACTGATCAGTGACGCTGGTGACAGGGCAGTGAAGGGGTTAACGGGGGGGGGGGATCAGGGGGTTAAATGTGTCCTGGAGTGTTCTAACTGTGGGTTTGTGCTGTTTTACTCTCACAATTTGTATGTCTTCTTCTCTGTCTGGAACGGAATGTGTCCTGTCAACACAGGACAGGATAGGACAGGGACCGATCATCTGATTTCAGCCAGACATCACTGGCTGAAATCGAATGATTGATCCCTCCGGGATCAAATGGTGTCGTCGGCGGGAGCGAGCGCGCGCCCCCTGCCGCGAAAATGTCGGGGGCGCGCATTTTAAAACGTGCTTTTGCGCCCCAGTGCCGCCCTGCACACGTATATATGCAGTGGCAGGGCGGCAAGTGGTTAAAGGCCAACACGTCTTATGACTTTAGTCCTTTTTTTGTTGGCTGCTGCCAAGTAAAATCACACACACATTTTTTCATCTCCTGGGAATTCCATTGAAAATTACTTCCAGGTTCTCCAAAGGCACGCTTGGACAAATGTTGCCAAAATCCGGGCGCCTTCTCCAAAATTGTTGAAAAAATGCTTGCAACAGTAAACTTTGATCCCACCATAACATTTTTAGACTACAGAAAATACTAAGAGGATCATTTTGGTGCAGTGTGGGACACTTAATGGTATAGTCCTACCTAGATTATCTATCAGCAAAGCACTATATAGTGTACAATGGTAAACAAGCATGTAAAGATCATGATTAGGTTGATGGTCTCCCCCAATTTGATGGATTTATCTCTGAAGGACAAATACGGGATCCTCAAAGTGCATCTACCCGTTCAGTGTTTAGCAAACATTGATGCAAGGGAAAGACTCACCTAAAGGGAGGACTTATCTGTACATGAGTAGTATGCTTGTACTCCACACCAAAGAACGCCTTGTGTTTTTACCGTCCATGCTTAATGGCAACCAGCTGTGTGAGCTTTAAACAAAAGCATTACTTGCCATGATGTACATGCATACAACCTGGCATTTTGAACAAGTGATCCTTTCTTTGGCATCAATATTTGATACTGAGTAGAGAAGCCTGTATTTGCCATTCAACACAAGGAGACCATCAGTGTAATCACAACCATTGCAAGTTTTTGCTCATGTGGTACACTATATAGTGTTTTTCCAGCTGAAATTATTTTGGTGAATGCTTGTTTTTTTTTGCATTCCATGGTAGAGGAAGGAAATTTTAGTGTGAAGATTTTGTACTTGAGCCCCAAAAAGAAGCCAGTGGGTAATTTAGAATAACCATGAATTTTCCCATTGCATTTTTTTCTGGATAAATCCTGCAGTGGGGAAGGTAAAATAGTTAGATCAGGGCTTGATGTAGGTTAGTGTAGGTGTGGTTGTTGGTACTGTTGTTTCTTGACCTTACTACTGGAACAACAAATAATGCACACAAATATGGTATCCTCATGCATGTCGGTTGCATCATTGTTATGACATTAAGGTGATATTCAAGGCTGTACATTTTTTTTCTAAAAATAAACAAACAAATCATACTTGCCTGCTGTGTGCAGGGGTTTTGCACAGAGCAGTCCCGATCCTCCATTTCTTGGGTCACCCGTCGGCACTCCTGGCCCCTCCCTCCTGTCGGGTGCCACCACAGCAAGCAGCTTGCTATAGGGGGCACCCGCTTCTCCGTGTGTCCATTCACACACAGAGCTGCGGCTTGGCTCTGCCCCCTCTCTTCTCTCATTGGCTCACTGGCTGTGATTGACATTGTGTCAGCCAATAAGGAGAGGGAGTCCCTGGATAGCCGAGACTCCAGTTCACGCCGCTGGATGGAGGAGGGGGCTTAAGTAGTAGGGGGCGCTGGGGCAGCTGCTGCACAGAGAAGGTTTTTTACCTTCTTGGATAGTATGCATGAAGGTAAAAAACCTTGTGCCTTTACAACCACTTTAAATATACAGCTATGGTTTTGATTCTTAAATATTTTTTTTTTTTATTTTGCGCCAGTTTTCTTATTAACAAAAATCAGGATATATACTGTACAATAATTAACACCAAATGAAGGACTAATTTGTTCTGAAAAAAAGCAAGTTATAATTCACTGTGGGTGCTTTTCAGATTTTGCTTACTTTTAAAGGGTGTCGTGATTAAAAAAAGTTGAGAAATGCTGCTTTAAATGACTCACAACCCTGTATATAGAGATATTAAACATAAATCTGAAATGAGCTCCTTGCTAGAAAGACATTTATTTTGAAGATGTCTGCCAGGATTTTTGTTTTTGGGAAAACCTGCTATTTTACCAGCAAATTACTGACTCTCCTGGTGTCATTACAAAGTTGGGCTTTGTCTATCCAAGAAGATGTAACAGGATTAGGGTGATGGTGTGGTTTTTTTTTTTTTTTTTTTTTGCCTTTGAGCGTTTTCCAATAGAATTCATGTTCTGGTTTATGAGAGAAGCTTATTTTCTATGGATGTAACAAAGTAAAATACACGTGTATATGAAGCCTTGTAAGAAAGCTATAATTTCTGCATGTATTAAGCATTAGTATATACTGACTTGTTTTCTCTTTTGACCTGTGATGTTTGGTAGATGCTTATTTTATGCTCTTTTGTTCAACAGACAGTTTTTGTGGAGTTTTCGTCTACCAGGTGAAGCCCAGAAAATTGACCGCATGATGGAGGCGTTTGCTCAGAGATATTGTATGTGCAATCCAGGAGTGTTCCAGTCTACAGGTATTCATTACATCAAAATCACTCATATGCACACTGTTTGTATGTTTTCATAAGCTGCTTTACGCCATGCCATAGAAATACAGAAAGGAGCACCAGAAATTAATTGAATAAAACGATGCAAGATAACTTTGTTAGTAGAAAAAATGTCCTAAAAATATCCAATGCGTTTTGGTGCAGCATTGCTGATCAGCAGCTGCTGTCAAGCTGTTACTCCGTGTAGAGTGTTTATTACAGGTTCTAATATAAAGTCCATTTAGGTTTTATCCTGTATTGAGCCCTCAGCAAGTGGGAGCAGTGTTGCCCCGAAAGGTGTTGGATGTTTTTTACATGTTTTTTACATTTAATTTTTTTTTTTTTTACCAACAATTATCTTGGGACTTTTTACTCTGATTTTGGCCTGATATTCTTTTCTGTATTTTGTGTGGTTTGAACTACTGTTTGGTGCGCATCGCAGTACGCCTTGCTGTATGGGAGCTGCCTCACCAGAGCTTTTAAGCTTGTTTTGAAGTTTTCCTTATACCAACATGCAACCTCTACTTCAGAAAAATTTGCTTCATCTTTCTACACAGATACGTGTTATGTCTTGTCCTTTGCGGTCATCATGCTGAACACCAGTCTGCACAATCCAAATGTCCGTGACAAGCCAAGTGTGGAACGGTTCATCTCAATGAATAGAGGAATTAATGATGGCGGTGACCTACCTGAGGAGCTTCTACGGGTAAAAAAAAAATTCGAACTTATTTGGAAATTGAATTTTTCCCTCTTCTAAAGTATTTCTAAAACAAACATTAGATAAGAGTTCAATCCACTTTTGTTTATTTAAAATGTAATCCTTTTTTGGCCCTCTGTATCCCAGTTGGGAGATTATTATACAGGATTTATATAGTACCAACAGTTTACTCAGCTCTTTACAATATAAGAGATTCCCCTTCACTTCTTGTCATGTAAACACAATAGGAGAAAAAAACTCTCCAAAGTGAGGAAAATCCTACTGAGAGGTCCAGTGTTACAGGGACAACCAAATCACCCAAAGCTTCAGAGTGTTGATCAGGGAACAAGATTCTTCCAATGCCAAAATCTCCTGCATCGACAAGCAGCCCAGGACTCCCCAGCCTAACAGCTGGTATCTGTCCTGGGGATGTTTCAGAAGATCTGAAGAAAGTACTTTCTTGACACTAAGTCAGGGAAAGCCTGGTCTCCAGTGCTAGATGAATCAGGTCTCTCCAAGGAATGGAGTGACTTGTCCTACGACAGGATGTTAACCTGTAGGGGTCTAGAGTGGAGCTGCAAACAGAGCTGCTTGGAAGGAAGCTACAATCTGTCCCTGGACTCTCATGGAGAAGCAACAGTCGGTCAAGTTCTAGACTGAAGAGTCAGTCTGGGAGTGGAGAGCTTATAATTTTTCCTGGGGAAGAATACAGGTCGTGGCAGATTGAAGTGTCACTTCGATCTGCAGACTGGCCTGTGTCTAGGATTACACCTAGATATTCCAAGTGACAAGTCATTTCTAGCACTTCTGAAAGTTCAGGACATCCTGCTTCAGAAGACCTGCCAGAGTTGTATAGATATCTGCTACTTCGTGCAGTGACGGGATCATGCTTGAAGTGAAACAGTTTTTAGCCCCTGGAAATAGTCTCCTGCACCAAAGTATTTGAGATGTAAGCAGGGTGGATAAAAATCAATGATTTTTAAAAAAATAAATTAAAAAAAAATCAGATTTTTTTTATTTAAATTGGATTTTTTTTAAATAAAATGCTTTTTGAGGAAAATATATTACCATCCAGAGGTTATTCCATCATGAAATAAAGATTAGTTTTTTAATTATGTAGGATAAGGCTGTATATGTTTAATTTTTTTGGTAAATAAATTCCATGAATCCATTCACAATGTCATGCTCTTCCAGAGGTTTTTGTAAGATTATTGGGCAGTTTCTCTGCCTACAAGATATTATCACAGATGCTTGGTTTACTTTTGCAGTTCTCAAAACTGAATTTGACTCAGCGGAGATCACATGCCTCTTCTTCACAGCAAAAATGTTATAACATGAACAGAGTTAAGAAAAAGACCTTAATCCTAACTTCTACAAACCTATGAATACAGAATCCACCCCTTCAGTGCTAAGTTTCAAGAAGTTCAGTGAATAGAATAGAAACAATATTTTTCTGATTGTTTGGAGTGGAATAGATCTGCACAAGAAGAAAGTGAAACTAAGTGTGAGGAGGAAGGGGCTGACAGTCTAAGTTTCTTAAAATATATATATATTTTGTTTAGCCAAATTAGTTAACAAACATGGATGTTTGTTTAAGCAAATAACATGTGCTGGAATGTTATTGTTTCAGTTGAATAAATCTATTTAAATTGTTATTATTAAGGTAATGATTATTTTTCTCCTTCCTAAGTACAACAGAAAAGTTGTTCAAATATGAATGTTTAACCTATTAAACTGGGGATAAAAAAAACCTAATATGAAAAATTAAACAGGTGCAGCGCTAGGTGATAGTAGATGCAATATCATACGGTTTCAGCAAGTGCAAACAAATAATATCACCATATGGTGATCATTAGTGGTTAAGTAGTTCAGAGTAATAAAATAGTGTGGATCATGAAGGATCACAATTCCAGGTGTGTGGGTATCCTGAGCCGGGAGTGACAGATGATGTGATTCAAACGAATGAAATGCGCACTCACCAGAAGTGCGTTTAAAATACGCAATGTAAAATCCTGCATCACCAGGTAGTAAATAGATCATCCGTTCCCAAGTCAGGTCACGTCACGGATCACCATCCAGGCTCATCAGCATAAAGATTCCCTGGTCATTATCGTGTATCACCATCTGGGGTCCTCTCTTTTCTAAATGGGCACTTCATCCCCATCATCCTCGGGATCCCAAAATCGCGGCTGGGGGTTCAGCAAACTCTCCAATGATTGAAACCGTATGATATTGCATCTACTATCACCTAGCGCTGCACCTGTTTATCTTTACATTTACTTTTCTGGAGGTTTTTTTTTTTGGTTACCTTTTAGGTGTTCTAGTGGCTGGATTATATACTTTCTTTAGTATAAAAGGTAGCGCTCGCTAAGTATTTCTTTGCTATAATATGAAAAGTTGTTATTCTAAAAATCTTCATCTACTTGCATATTAAAGTTATACCAGCAAGAATTAGTCTTTATGTAGAAAATTATGATTTAAATCAAGCCTTACTGACTACTGAGTTAAATCGTGATTTAAATTGTGATTTAAATCAGTTTGATTTAAATCAAATCCACCCTGGATGTAAGTATCCACAAAGGCTAAACGATGTCTCTCCACTTTGAAAAGTGGAGGCGCCCCTTCATGCTAAGTATTTAGTCTCCAACAGGGAAGACTATAAACAGTGAGTGCATTAAAAATACATTGACCCTCTTAGGAGCCCTAAAGAAGCTTAGACTGGGGTCAGGACTGGTAGAGAATATAGGTTTTTTCCTTGAGTTTCAGGGTGGTGAGCACTGCATCAATAATGGCCAAGTTGGTCAATGAGATTTGGGGCAATGGCAGAAGACTGCAACTCCTTAGGAATAGGATTGTTCATCAGGATTGGAGAGACTCCGTAGCAGACAGTAGGGTTGATTTACTAAAACTGGTTCACTCAGAATCTCATGCACTTGTGTGCATGAGATTCTGCATGAGAATCTCAATCAGCTTCTAACCTCAACTAGTTCAATTAAGCTTTAGCAATAAAACCTAGAAGCTGATTGGTTTTTATGCAAAAGGTCACAAAATTCTGAGTGAGCCAGCTTTAGTAAATAAACACCAGTGTCTCAGTGGCTGAAGGCTTAGTGGCTGCTAATGCTGTGGGAAGATCCGATGGAGATTGTGCAGGAAAAGGTGTGGGAGTATGCTTATGGCTTCTGCAGTCAGCCACAATCATTAGTGCATAGAGCAGAGGATTCAATCTTTGAAAAAAAGGGGTAACTGGCAAAAAAAAGCTACTTTACTCAGCAGAGTGGAGAAAAGACATTCATTTTCCCTGGACACTGGCAAAAACATGAGGCATTCTGAAAGTGTGAGGGGTTTTCCTGGACTGGCTGAATTATTTAATTTTATTTAATATCATTTTTTTTATTAGGAAATAGTTTAAGGTTTAGTTATACTTTAAGGAGAACCAACCCTCATGTTATTGGATATCTGTAAACAACCAGAATTGGTATAAATGGGATCACAGCTTTTGGTATCCTGCTCCTATTTTCTTAAACGATTTATATTTGATTGTAATTGTACAGGCTATTCTTGGGTTATAGAGTCCAGAGGAATCGCACTCAAGGACATAGGCTTGTAGTTGTAATAACCAAGTCGTGTACTCCAATAAAAGATATACATTTATTCCAATAAAAGAACAGTATAGTCATCCAACAGCAGCAGTATTTAATGCCCAATTGTGTCCATGATGGAATATCCGCTCACCTAGGCAGCAGGAGCCCCTGAACCAGAGTGAAAGGTAATTGCAAAGGTGATTCCTTGATGGATGGAAACAGTCTGGCCGGACTGGGGACCTCGGCGCACCCGAACTGACGTCACGGGAGGAAGCGGAAGTTGGCCACTAAGAACCAGGCTGAACCGCAATCAAGCTAGTTGCCACGACACCGTGTTTCGCGTGCATACGCTTTATCAAGTCAAGTGATGACTCGATAAAGCCAGCTTGTTTCCATCCATCAAGGAATCACCTTTACAATTACCATTCATTCCGGTTCGGGGGCTCGTGCTGCCTAGGTGAGCGGATATTCCATCATGGTCACAATTGGGCATTAAATACTGCTGCTGTTGGATGACTATATTGTTCTTTTATTGGAATAAATGTATATCTCAGTGGCTAAATGGTTAGCACTTCCGCCTGGCAGTACTAGGGTCGTTGGTTCGAATCCCAACCACAGTACCACCTGCCTGGAGTTTGCATGTTCTGCCCGTGCCTGCGTGGGTTTCCTACGGGTTCTTCGGTTTCCTCCCACACTCCAAAGACATGCTGGTAGGTTAATTGGCTCCTGTCTAAATTGGCCCTAGTATGTGTATGGATGTAAGTTAGGGACCTTAGATTGTACGCCCCTTGAGGGTTAGGGACTGATGTGAATATACAATATATATGTAAAGCGCTGCGTAAATTGACGGCGCTGTATAAGTACCTGAAATAAATTAATAAATAAATGTTTTATTGGGGTACACTGCTGGGTCATTACAACTACAAGCCTATGTCCTTGAGCGCTGTTCCTCTGGACTCTGTTTATCACTGCTTTTTAGTGTGACATCAGCAGCTGAGGGATTGGTTGGCTTCTAACAATTTGGGATTTTAGCACTTGGATTTTTTTTTGTGTATATTCTTGGGTCACGGAGTCCATGGATGTGAGTGGACTCCCTGCCACCTATTATTATAGTACCTTTTTGCTGCCAGTTCTTCTTGGTCCTCTTAATATTGTAGTTAATAAGTGCAGTTGGGGACAAACTGGCAATTCTTCTCTGGCAACATATGGACAATGCTGAAATGCCTACTGATCAGACCATTTTGTATATAACCACATAAGAGGATTACTATTATTGATTCAGTAGGCTTCATGTGCAATCTTGGTCAAAGCTTGACTTGCACAAGAATCGGTGTAAAATGCTGCAATACATAATGACTAAAAAAGTTCAAACATTTTGATGCAGAGCCAGTATCCTGTGCAGTGGGGTTTTGTTGTTGTTTTTCTTTACAGCTGATTTACTAAAAGGAGCTAGGAAGTCTAGTCTGTTTGAGAGGTCTTCAGTTCTGTGTTGGGTCTGTCTGGCGACTGTGTTGCTAAAATTTACTGTTCTCTAAGGGTCTTGTGGAGGAGTCTGTTTGTGATCCGGGTGTGCCAGACCCTACTGCTCTGCTTGGAGGCAGAAATGGGTGAGCTATTTATTGAGGAGGAACCTTCCAAGGACATTGATGCAGTGTGTCTGTAACCAGTGCTATTTTTTGTTTTTTGCTGGGGGGGTTGTGAGCTTGTTGGAGTAGTGAACAAGAGCTTTTTTTTAATCGTGACCACTGAGTGATAATTATCTGAAAGGTGACATATGGGTAGAAGTTACGGAGCTCTGCATAAGAGATCCTTATGTCCCCATCGCTAAGCTATACCCCTGTTTTTTCTGGTAATCTGATCTGAGAACACCTGCTGGTGATGCCGAAAATACCTTTTAAGCATGTGACTCCAGTATTATTATCCGTAACTTTGTAATAAAAGGGGGGGTTCTTGGTTCACAGATCTATAAATGCATGTTTAATAAAAAATCTGTACAAAGAGGCTTATGGAGGCTGCCTTTGCTAACCTCATTCTGAAAATGCTAGTTGCCTTGACTGTTATGATGTCCAATTTGTATATTTCCAGGTCACTGAACAAACTGTTGATGCAAGAGGAATGTCTTGACTGCTTCTGGCTTCAATATTTTCTGACACCCCAACCTGGAACATAAAAATAGAAAAACTCAAAATAAAGTCCGTTCTACTCTGCAGTCTGGTGATCAGTGATGGAAAGTACTGAAGCCACTGGCTAAGCTTGATTGCCAGGCACCTAGTATTTTCGGAAGGGGTTGATGCCCCTCTGGCATTTTGCTTGTTGAGTAGAGAAAGGCCAAATACATAAGTGGCATGCTGTTTTAAATTGGACACGGTACTCAATTGGCAGGGCTGTTGTTAGAACCACAGGGCCCCATACATCCAATACCCCACCTCCCAAAAATAAAAACAGTTTACTCTGCTTCACTTATGAATGAACACAGTGAATGATCACTTATTGTGTTCATGCAGGAAAGAAATGGGCTAGTAAATGTGACATGTTTACTGCACCCTTCCCCCGCTTTCCATCCTGAAGGATCCTGTTGTGTCCTTGCAACTGCCAGTAACATGAGAGCAGGGAAGTCAGCAGCACTGTGGGAGTACACAAAGGGGGCCTGAGCAGCAGGGGGAAATGTATTGTGCACAGAAAGGGTGATGGGTACGGTGGGGGGCAATTAGTTGAACCGATACCCTGTATGGTTCTCTGCAGCAGAGGGAGCGAAGAAGCTGCAGAAAGAGCTATACAGAGTTCCAGTAATTGCCCCCTCCCCACTGTGCCGATCACCCTCCCTGGCCACATCTGTTTCACCCAGCTGCCTGGGCCCCACACGGGAGGACTGGCGATACCCCCCCTTTATTTTATTCACAACCCTGTCTGTGGGACCGATATAGAGCCAGAGATAGTCTGATCACTGACCAGAAATTAATAGGAACATATTCTCTGATTCAAGCAACCTAAAAGGTACTGTAGGGGTGTGACCAAATGAGCAGTATGATACATCACACATATCCATAAATATTATCTTATTTTAAAGGAGCATTAATGAAAGGTAATTCTAGGATGCATATTTGATGTGTGGTAGGTGTTGACACCACTCTTACAGATTTTGTTTTGGTCTGAGCACAGATTTTATTTGTTGTGATGAGAGAGAGCACAAACACATCCACTACAGGCTCCATGCTATCTCTCACAAAATCTATACGGAATTTGTCACTAGGCCCCAATTAGATTCAGAACTGCGTTGGAAATTTTTTTAAATATGAGTGATAAAGGAAGCAGAGAGAAAGGGAAAGTTAAACTGACCAGGCTTCAGGAAGTACACTTTCAGTGACTTGTTGGCATTCTCTGGATGCAAAGAATAACCAAGAATGCAGATAAAGGTACATTTGAGGAACTTTATGGTTTTAGCACAATTGCAGTGTTTGCTGGAAAGCACTATTAGCCAACTAATTGTTTTTTTTTTTCCCTAGAATTAGCCTGTAAGATGTTTTCCTGTTTTATTGCAGAACCTCTATGACAGTATAAGGAATGAGCCATTTAAGATCCCAGAGGATGATGGGAATGACCTTACACATACTTTCTTTAATCCGGATAGAGAAGGTTGGCTCCTCAAACTTGGTAAGTCTTGCTGCCATGGTTTGGGTATAACAGACACGATCTAGTCTTGCAGTCTTCTGTTTCAGCTTCTCTTCTCTTGCAATCCCCCCACATTGCTCTGGAGCCATGTACGATGCTGTTCAGTTGAGCCCCACAAGTAACATTTTATAATCTTGAAAACTTTTTAAGGCAATAATGTGTTGACCAATGGAGATTTGCTTGGTGATGGAATACAGTTTCCATTCATCTTTTTAATATTTAGGCTTTGAAATAGAATGTTACAAACAAAGAGAAATTGATTTCTGTGCTCCCTTGCTTTTTGAGACCGATAATCTCCCCAGGGTTCTGAAATGTGGTCCCTCCATTGTCCTATGTTAGATTATGTGCAACACATGTCTGGAGCTGATCTTTATAGATTACGGTTCTTGTTCCTGAAGCTGAAAGGTTCCAGGTTAACTCCAGATTTGCTGATTTACATTTATGTTTTCCTATAAACACACAGTCACTTCCAGCGCTCAGAAGTCTACCAATAGACAGCTTAACAGAAAAACATGGAAGGCAAGGATATCCTCCGTCAAGAATGCTTAGCCGATGCAGCTCTCCTCAGATCAGGGAATCCAATGCAAACCAGAAAAAATACACACAGGAGGGTGCAAATGCCTGGTGTGTTACCAGAGGTTTATTGAAAAAGACGAAAATGTAGACCGAATGGGTAGTCAGAAAAGTGGAAGGAATGAAGGCATCAACCCATAGGCTATACAAGTTTTGCTCTAGATCATGTTCTAACACATGATACCGTTGTGCTGGCGTACTGGCAAACTGACGCACTTGCAGGGGCGCACCCCCTTCCTCCGAGCTAAGCTCGTCAGCACAACAGTATCATTTAAGATACAAGAGTCCTGTGCTGGATTATATTCCATGGTTTTAATACCTTCATACCTTCCACGTTTGTGAGCACCCATTTTGTCCCTCCTTCTTCCCTTTTTTTTTTTTTTTTTGTGTGAGATTTTAATTCAAATCCTGTACCAGGTGGCAGTAGAACAGAAAGAGAAGGGAGTTCTTCCAAATGGAGATGTAAATGGCAATAAAAAAATCTGACTGAGGTTCTGACCCTTCTCTGCTCTATCCATAATGACATGTTCAGGAATGACTTGGGCTTTAACCCCCCTTACCCCTTGTACTTTCTCTACTATACACACATTTATTGTTTGCAGTGAAAAGTCTTCCATATGTCTCTTTAGCTTGCAGTTTGCTATTCTGTTACCCGAATGGGACTGGGCTGGGTAAAAAATCTCAGGTGGGTAGAAAAGCTAAGGGGCTCTCAGGACATGCTTTCTTGTAACTTCTTAGCTCATCTGCATGTCATTTGGGATACAAAGTGTGATGACCAGTGGTATCTTTACAGGCGATTTGGATGTAAACACACCCTGAAGTATGTTGCACAGATATGCTAATTGAGTGTATTGAAAAAATGTTAGCTGTCCCGACAATTGGTGTGTTGATGCACTTTAATGTAATATCTGGCATTTTAGCAATACCTCCACTTTTGTAGCAAAGGAAAGACTGCTTTCCCTCCATGTCCTGTACATGGCTCCTGCCTTATTTTTGCTCTGCTGATTCTCTTGTTTAGTACTTGAATGCGCTAAAAGTGCACTGTGCCTAGAGGATGTGTATGAACCTTGATTTCCACCTTTTGTTTATGTGACTTATTTTTTTTTTTTTCTCTTTATCCTCACTTGCCTGCCTGCCCTTCCTATCTTGTGTGCACCTTCTTTCTTTCTTTTCCCTGACTTTGTTTTTCATACCTTGTGTGCTCCGCCGCTGATGACATTTGCTCTTCCGTCTGCTCACAATAATTGCTCAGGAGGTAGGTGTTACAGTCGACCCTCATCCTAGTTTTCATGTAATAACACAGTGCACATTTTGTCCAGTGATCTGTGGATTGCAATCATATGTCAGGTTTTATATGTAGTAATGGGATCCATCATTTCAACTGCTGGAAAATAGATTCTACCACACCTTTGTTGCATAGTAGCCTGGGGTTATGTTCCTTTATAGCTGCCCAGCTATATGCACTGTGGTTTTTTTTATGTATGAAATGGTTAACTAGGAGTCTTGGGGCACCTGATTTAGTCCTGAAAGTATTATGCTTTGGTGTTTTGATATAACATACACATTTTAATCTAAAATGCACTACAGATTGACCTAAAATGACAGCAACCCTGCTAGGGTAAAAGTAATCCAAATATACTCTATAAATACAATCCCCTCATTGGTGGCCCATCTATCCTATCTCCCCTCAGCTTTTGTCAGTTTCTTTGGCTTTTGACACTTCCGGGAGTGTTGGCTGCCTGTGTTTTCCTGCCACATGCTGTGGTTTCTTCCTCCAACCTGCTAAATAACAGAGTCCTGTAGCGACATAGTGGTTGTTAGAAGGATCCATCACATACAGCAGTAAAGGCATCTGACCCCTTTGGAAATGTCAAATGCCGAAGGGACTGATGGAGGCAGCAGTGCTGCAATGAAAAGAAAGAACAGGCCTGACACAAAGGGACGTATGAGGCGAACTCTTGCATGACTCATTTTGTGGATTATTTTTCACTCTGACAGGTTTGCTTTAATATGTGATTTATTGGAATTTTGAAGAGCCATGTATAAAATTGGATTATATGAAAGAGTCCAAATCTTCATAAATGTGTTTGTGTTTTTTTTTTTATTTATTAACTTGGAACTATCCTTAAATTTCACACCTGGCCTAAATCTGTAGGGCACTTATGAGCGTTACTAGGTCACAATTGCAAAATATTAGCCTTTTTTTTTTTTTTTTTTTTTTTTTATGCCAATAATATTTAAAAAATGTTTGTTCTTGAACTCCCTAATATGACCTAAAGCTTAGGCAGCCTTGATCATAGTCCCTGGCTACCACAATACCTGTGGGTGTTTCACATGACTACAAGCCATTGTGTTTGTTGTTTAGCTTTCAGAACCTTTTTTGCCCCTAAAGCTCTGTAATTTGGCAATCCTAATGGCAGAAGATGGTGGTGCTTTAGGGTTGATTTGGCTAGAAATCAAAGTCCTGTGCACAGACTCCAAATATATGTAGAAGCCGTACTGCATTGTCAGGGCTCTTCTGTGAAGTGCAAGCTGTTGGAGTCTTCATGTTGGAGCATATATAGCAATATATAAATTAAGGTCAGGTATGCCTAGAGGCAACCCATTCTTCCGTTAAGTGTTACTAAACCCAGGACTCTGCATTCACTATATCTGGTCTCCCACAGTACACAGAACATGGAAATGCATTTATTTTAGTGAAAATAAACTGCAAAATACCTTTTCTCATCAGCAGTTAGAGCAGTCTTGTGACTTCTATCAGTGTCCAGCTGAGCACTGGTTAAAGCTTGTAGGAGAAGTTTTCATTCTCCTCTCCCAGCCCTATGAGATTGCATAAACCCTGATCCTCTGTCTGGACAGTGCTGATTGGCCCTGTGCTAATCACATGCACCATCCCAAGAAAAAGAACAAAACGCTGTAGCAGTACACATCAAACTGAGCATGTGCAGAGTGTCCCTGAGGCTCTATTCTATCAGGAGATGAAATTGGGAACATGGAGGAAGGGGAGAATCAGAGAAGACAGGATCAAACATCCTCTTTGCAGGGGATTAACCCCTTAAGTTCCACAGTGAGTATAACAAGCATGCTTTACTGCATATACAGACTGTTTTTATTGTTGTGGGCTCAGTAACACTTTAAAGGCACAGTGACACACTAGAAACCATCTGGAAGCTTCCAGTGTGTCTCCATGCCAATTACAGAAAGCTAAACAAAAAGCCACCCCAATTTGTAACTAACTTTTAGAGTAATGTGCACGTGGAAGGGTTTTGCACAGAGCAGACAACAAAATGTATTTCACTTGGGGTCCTTTCACACAGGCGGCCCGTTTTTTTTTTTTTTTTTGTTTTGTTTTTTCCCCCATCTGTTCAGTCCCATTTTTTTTTCCCATCAGCCCAGTCCCTTTTTTTCAAAGAAAAAATGGGTCAATTTTTACATCTGTTTTTTACATCCACTACCAATGCAAAAAATGAATTTTTGTCTATTTTACTTCTGTTTTTTTTGGTCCGTTATATTTTTTAATGGAATAAAAGTGTTGATCCGTTCCAAAAACTGGACGCTGATGTAAGTGGATGATCATCTGTTTTTCTATAGAAATGCATTGATGTCCGTTTTGCGTCCACCGAGGATGGATGAAAAACAGACAAATGGAACGCCCATGTGAAAGGGGCCCTAGTGTCATATTGAACTTCTTTGCTTTCCTACACTGGTATAAGTTGAAGGCTGCTCTCAGACTATTAAATCTCAAGTGATCATTTTCCGTTGCACCATAATCCTCCAGTTTTAATGATGGATCCCTCCTCTGCCAGTAGTTATGTTTGCTTTATAGTGTAAAGCCTTTGCTTCATTGCAGAATGACTAATTCCAGAAATTAGTATCATCATTTTAGGTAGTTCATGTGTTTGTATGTGTGTAACATGTGTAACATTGCACTGATTTGAAGGAAGGTCAATAACAGTCTTTCACTTTGTATTCATCAGTCCATTTAGAAAATTGTGAACTCACTGTTTTGGTTTGGTTTGGGTCACCACACATGGTGTTTATATATGTGGATGTTCATCTAAGTTGCAGCGGATTGAAACATAAGATGTTAGATCACAGCAAATCTTGCACTTCTGTAAATAAGCGTTGACCCTTCTTCTATCCTCCCTATATTTCCTGTTGTCTTGACAGGTGGGCGTGTGAAGACATGGAAACGGCGCTGGTTTATCTTGACTGACAACTGCTTGTACTATTTTGAATATACTACAGTAAGTACATTGTTTTTTTAAATTTTGGTTTTCATTGATAAGGTGCTTCTAGAATATAAATACAGTGTATATTGTTGTAGGAAACCTTTCTTGAGAGATAAATGAAGGATTCCCTTGCCTAACGGTCATATTGAACCTTTTGGCCTCTTAACACACCGAAAATATGCAGATCAGGACTTCCGTGACTTTCCTTATCGGCATAGTTGAACTGGACAGTCACTCAGAAAATATTGTCATAAGTATATTATAATTCAGTGAGTCAGCATTCCAGCCAGGCTGATGGTTTTGCCCTGCATGGGCAAAGCACAGGTACAGTGTAGTCTTTGGTTCTTTAACCTCTCTTGGTCCAGTGATTATTCAAGGTTTTGGGCAAGAGTGAGTTTAATTGCTTTAGAGCATCTCATTCTGCAAAAAAAAAAAATTAATGCATGACAGATGAGTGAGCTACATCTAAATGTATAATATATTCAAGGAGAATTTTCATGAAGGCCCACAGTGAACGGGCCTACACATGTTGAGAATATATACATAGGCTGCCACCTATCCATCAGCTGATCTCTGAGCACCACTCTGGGCTGGGGGGATGACAGAGATGTAACAGGACAGTGAACATGGCAGATGAAAGGATAAAACTGCTGGCTCCCAACTCTGCCAGAGCCGCGACTGGGCAATGAGAGAAGAGTGCAGGCTCTGGCCTCCCTCCATTCTCCTCACAGGCTGTGCCCAGACACTTGTTCCATTCCTGCTGTCACCCATCAGGGATTTGATCTGAGTCAGAGATCGGGGTGTTTGTGTGTGGTGCCGGTCGATCTGGCAGGAGGCAGAAGTTAACAGCCAGCCAACTTCCATGTCCTAGGAGAGCGAGCCATGGACACTGAGCAACACTAGTAGTGGGGGTTGGAATTTGTGAAGATGTGGGGGGGGGGGGGGGATTTTGTGAAGAGGTGAGAGCTGGAGGGGGGGTTGTGAAATCGGCATAATTATAATACTGAAACTGCAAATAATAATTTACAATTGGCATAATGTTTCCCCCTTAACAGATTTTTATTGTCATTCTTTCCGGCCATCCTTATAACCCTGAAGTAGCATTGGGGTTATTGGCTGGCCGCTCTGCCCTAAGTAAGTTAGGGTGCGCAAATTACTTGCCTTGCCCTAGGCGCTGACATCCCACGCTATGCTAATAAAAAAACTGGGTTTTCTAACTTTTTTTTAGCTGGTTCCTAGATGCAAAGCAAATTTGTCAAGCCCTGGTTTAGTATAATTGGAATGTGTTGTGCATGGTTTACAGCCTATATTACTCTGTGTGAGACAAACAGTAGACTGACTGCCATTACCATACTAATTGCCTTCTCTGCATAGCCAAAGCCATGTACCTCAAACAAGCCTGCATACAAATATTTGAACAGATTGGTGCTAGAGAAGCCACAGTTAGGAGAAGTCAGGACTAAACCCAGAATTCCGTCATGAATATGCTATGTAAATGTTTACTGGTGTCCTTTTATTTTGGTGCACAAATTGCTGAAAGTAATGCATGTCAAAGTTGTGGGCTTGCAGCAATATCCTGTGTGGTATGGTTTTGTATACTGTGAGCATAATATGGCATATGCCATAAATCATTTGACTGTGAATCCTCCCTCTTCTACAGGTTTGTGCGTCTGTGCTCCTGTGCTTGGTCTTTATTTGTGACTGTAGTTCAGGTCTCTTAAAGCTGAACCCAAGGCAAATACTTAAAAACATGTGTCCTATTTTACCTGCTACTTCTGTATAGCCTGGCTTGTGTCTCAGACGTCTGTGCCATACAGGACAGGAGGGTCTGCATCTGTAGCTTTTAGAACCACAGCAGGACCCAGACCCATGACCAGCTTGCTGATTGGACCATAAACGAGTAGCAGCTCACTTATGAGATCATCCCTATGCTAGCTCTGCTCAGGTTTGACAGCCAATGTGTAATGCTGCAAAGCCAGATTGCTGCTAGTGGGATTACTTCCACTCCGTACCTGGTACAGGAGGATGACCGCTTCTTGTGTTTACATTGCTGCATCTATTTTATTTTTATTTTTTAATACATGGCTTCACAAGTTGGAGTTGCCTGAAATTAATTTTTAATTTCTAAAATTACTTAATGTAAATTCACTGGTTAATGTGATTTTATACCTGGGTTTTTTCCGTAACAATTGCATATTTTTAATGCTAAATTCATCAGCTATGGCTATTTTTGCATAGTTACATTCAGGGCCTGACAAATCATAGGTGCCAGGTTGCCATGGTGACTAGAAATTGCGTCCTGGTGCCTGGGTTCACACACTGCCTCCCATTGATGTCAATGTAAAAATATGTCCCATTGACGTCAATGCAAAAACTCCAATAGCAATCCTGTGTGAACACTTATCTCTGCATGCCACTGTACTCTATCACTTGACACATAGGGGTTTATTTACTAAACCTAGTTGACTCAGAATCTTGGACACCTGTGCATGGTAGCCAATCAGCTTCTAACCTCAGCATGTTTAGTTAAGCTTCAGCAATAAAACCTGGAAGCTGATTGGTTTTTATGCAGAAGTGGACAAGATTCTGAGTCAACCAGGTTTAGTAAATAAACCCCATAATATCTAGCCTGTCATGCGAATCTGAGTTTGGAAATGCATCCAGAATTGCATTTGTTTGAACCAGGGCAGCTCCATTCACACCTGGGCATTTTTGGATTGTGGCAGAATCACTGTGATCAGGTGCCATTATTTTCAATGGTGCCTAAAACGTGGTGCAGTTTTTCTGTGATTATTGTGCGGCAAATCACATTGTGTAAAACTTGTCGCCGAAAATAGCCTTGCGCCAGGTGCTGACAACCCATGTGATGCTAAAAAATAACTTGATGAATGAACTGGATAAATCACAAATATACTAATGTGCATTGTTAACACCCATGTTTTCCATGAATCAGTAAAATCAACATATCCTCCTAAAGTGCATGAAAAGTTATGAGAAAGTGACCAGTATGTAAATTTAAAGTGCCAAAAAGTACATCCACTCTGGTGGATTCATGGTGCCAACTATTCACCACCTCTGATGATGATTGTATGTGCTCTGGAGTGCCCTTTAGGAGTGCTCACTCACCAGATCATGTTGACCCCTTATATTACATAAGCAGGTCAAATTGCGCTTGTGTTATGAAAGCTCCAGTAATTGATAACTCCAAACATAATTTATCCCTCCTCTTCAATAATGGTGCCCCTCCGGCGCCCGAAATGGTACAGCATCGGCATTTCCTATACTTGAGTATTCGGCTGGTCGAGTCCTAGAGCCAGCATGTGTTCAACAAAGTGAAAATGAGGTCACAACTGGAAAGTCAGGAGTAGGGAGTTGCTTATTCAGTACAGGTGTCCTTCATAGAACATGTTGCATTTTCTCAAGGAATGCAAAGTGTTCTCCAATTGGACGAGGTTGAGAGGCAGGGCAGTGATATCACTATCTTAATCTTGTCCAATCTGAGCATGCTTTGCATTCATGCAGAAAATTCAAGGGGGTTTATTTAGTAAAGATGGAGAATGCAAAATCTGGTGCAGTTCTGCCTAGAAATCAATTGCCAAGTTTTTTTTGTCAAAGCTTAATTGAACAAGCTGAAGTTAGAAGCTGATTTGTTACCATGCACAGCTGCACAAGATTTTGCACTCTCCAGTTTTAGCAAATCAACCCCAAAGTGTTCTCTGAATGGCGCCATGCCGGGCGAGCAACCTCCTGTGTTACGAAGCACCAGGGCAGCCACTCAAAAGAGGACTTGGAAGCTAGCAACAATCACTGTAGTAACTGTGTCAACTGCAGTGATTTTCCAGCTTTCCACATGGGGATTGGCCATGTATGACACATGCAAAGTAGCTTGGGTACAAGCTGGGCCAATGTAACTGCAAAAACAGCCATAGCAGGAATTCAGCATTAAAATATATCCTTTATCTAACAAGCCTCTTAACAAGTTTGTGCACTTTTTCAGGATAAAGAGCCTCGAGGGATCATACCTTTGGAGAATCTCAGTATCCGGGAAGTTGAGGATCCCAGGAAACCGGTAAATCTTACTGCATTTTGAGCTGCTTGGCTTGACATGGATATATTTCCCGAATGCTATAAATTCCAGTGGCTTGTATTCTAAGTTACTGATCAGTTTTTATCTCTCACAGAACTGCTTTGAGCTGTACATACCTAACAATAAGGGACAGTTGATCAAAGCTTGCAAAACAGAGGCTGATGGGAGAGTGGTGGAGGGCAACCATAATGTCTACCGAATTTCCGCACCAACCCCAGAAGAGAAAGAGGAGTGGATCAAATCTATAAAGTAAGATGTCCTGTACTGCCATCCTGTGGTTTAAATTGACTGCACAGTACTGAAACATTACTTCTGGCTGGCTCTCTGTGCAATAGAAGTCGTCTGCTCATCTAGTATGTGTTTTGCAGCCCCACCTAGGATGTATGAGCAGAGCGTAAATCTGTCAGATGATCGGAGCATCTCTAAACCTTCCCTTTACATGCTATCTGCTTAAAAAGTGAACTATGTGGCTTTTACAAATTTGCAGCTTAACGCTGAAATTTTGCTTTTCAAGAATGAGAAGTATGTGTTCAATTTTTTTTAATCATTGCCTGGTCTTTAGTTGTCCCTTGGAGCCCTGCTTCCCAAGACCTGTCTATTTAATAGTGTTAGAAATGACTTAAAAGAAACCTATTGCTAAAGGGACGTGGGGGCTGCCATTACTGACCTCTTCTGAAACTACTAGCTTCCTGCCAGTCATGCTGACCCTCTTGCTTTAGTACTTTGAGCCACTGACCCAGGACAAGCATGATTAGTAGTCCTGACTTTATCAGACTTTCATGATGTGCGTACAGTAATTTAAAAAGTATTGATGCTACATAGAGCCAGGTAAATATTATTTTCCGAAGTCCAAAAATGGCAGCCTCCTATGTATGTATCATAACAAGATTACTTTAACTGCTTCCCACCCGAAAACTGCACATAAACAGCTTGGTGGGAGCTTTCCCATTCTGAGAGGACGTTCCTGAATGTCCTTTCAGAACATGTGCCTTGCGGGCCTCAAGGTGCGTTCCTGTGATGGCTGTGTTCGTCCGGACACAGCACATCACAGATCGAGATATGGGTGCTGTAATTGACCCAATCATGTGATGGCTGTGTCCAATCACAGCCATCATTCAGTATAAGCAGAGACATTTGCCTCTGTGTCAGCTTTACCCGCCAAGCTCAGTGTGGGGGGTGTAAGGGAGAAGGGGGATGCTGTAAGCCTGTGACTATGCTCTCTGCATAGCTGACATCTGTGCCAGTGTCACATCAACATCTGTCACAGTATACCGGTTCACAAAACAACTGCAATAGTGTTCCCATTGCAACATCAACATCTGTCGGTGCCTGCTGGTGGGCGATCAACATCTGTCACAATGTACAAATGCACAAAAACATCTGTCGGTGTACCAGTTTCCCACTAATAAATAAATGTAAAGTACCCCCGCCAAGACCCCCCATACTCTCCCGTGCAAAGGCGCACGTGCATGTTGGTCCTGTACTCATGTAAACTGTGATTGCGCCACACGTGTGGTATTACTACGAACATCAGAGCGAGAGCAATAACTCTAGCAACAGACCTCCTCTGTAACTCTAAACTGGTAACCTGTAAAGGCTTGTAAAACGTCTATAGAGACTTTTAATTACCGAAGTTTGGCGCCATTTCACAAGCACAATTTTAAACCGTGGCGTGTTTGATATCTATTTACTTTGTGAGACACTATATTTTCTATTTTACAAAAAAAGTGGTATTATATTGTTTAGTATATTTTAATGTATACAAAGTGTATTTTTTCATTGGTGTGTAAAATTGCATTCGAAAAACCACTGCGCAAATACAGTGTGACTTTGAAATTTGCAAAACCCACTATTTTATTCTCTATGACCTCTGCTAAAAAAACATATAATGTTTTTGAGGGTTCTAAGTTCTAGAAAAAAGTACTGATTTTTACTTGTAAATAAAAAGTGTCAGAAGGCAACCTGGTGGATAATGCCTGAGGCTGTGAAAAAGTCACACATGGGGTATCCCCAAACTCAGGAGGATTTGCAGAATGTGTTTTGGAGTGCAGCTGCAAGTATGACTATGCCGTGTGTGAGAAATAACTTATGACATTTTTGTGGAAAAAAACAAACACATTTTATTTACCTTATTTTTTTTGCTCCATAAGATGCACCTGACCATAAGACGCACCTAGATTTTAGAGGAGGAAAACCAGAAAAAATATTCTGAATCAATGGACTGCGGACACAGTACAGGAGATGACCAGAGACTGCGGACACAGTACAGGAGATGACCAGTACAGAGATGCGGACACAGTACAGGAGATGACCAGAGACTGCGGGAGATGACCAGAGACTAGTACAGGAGATGACCAGAGACTGCGGACATAGTACAGGAGATGACCATAGTACAGAGAGGACTGCGGGACATAGTACAGGAGATGAGACCGGACACAGACCAGACTGCGGACATAGTACACAGTACAGGAGATGACCAGAGACTGCGGACCAGTACACAGTAGGAGATGACCAGAGACTGCGGAGACAGACTGCGGACACAGTACAGGAGATGACCGGACACAGTAGAGATGACTGCGCGGACACACAGATGACCAGAGACTACACAGTACAGGAGATGACCAGAGACAGAGACACAGTGCGGACATAGTACAGGGAGGTGACCAGAGACTGCGGACTCTTGGGGATGGGGAGAGTGGGTATCCGAATTTGACAGGTACCCGCTCCCACTTCTGCTGCGATCTCTTAAAAAAAAAAAATTACAACTCCCCATGCCTCTTACTAAATACCTTGCACTGTCTACTTTCCAAAAAGGGGTAATTTGGGAGGTACTTGTACTGTCCTGGCATGTTAGGGCCTCAAGAAATGAGAGAGAGGCTGTCAGTACATCAGGCGTGATCAATTTTCAATGATTGGTACCATAGCTTGTAGTATTATTATTATTACATCGAATTTATATAGCGCCAAAGGGTTTGCTCAGCGCTGTACAATAGAGGGGGGGACAATACATGAAACAGCACAGCAACAACAAACAGCACACGAGGGGTTCGAGGGCCCTACTCTTTCGAGCTTACAATCTAGGAGGGAGGGGGTAGTGGCACAGGAGGAAGTGGCTGTGGGGGATGGAGTTGGAGAAATGAAGGACGGCTGTTAGGGGAGGGTGGGGTATGCTTCCCTGAAGAGGTGGGTTTTCAGGGAGCGCCTGAAGGTGAGGAGGGAAGGCGACAATCTGATGGATTGGGGCAGTGAGTTCCATAGGATGGGGGAGGACCTGGAGAAGTCTTGCAGTCGTGCGTGGGATGAGGAGACCAGGGAGCAAGATAGGAGGTCCTGTGAGGAGCGAAGGGTACGGGTAGGGTGGTACTTGGGAATCAGGTTGGTGAGGTAGTTAGGGGCAGTGTTGTGAATGGCTTTGTAGGTCAGAGTGAGTAGTTTGAATTTGATGCGTTGGGCAACCGGGAACCAGTGGAGGGAATGACAGAGGGGAGCTAGTAGACTCTATAACATTCCCACAGACCAAATACTGTAGTATACACCGATTTGTGTTATTCTTTACCAAAGAAATGTAGCAGTATAAATTTTAGAAAATAACTTATTTGCAAAATTTTATAACCAAAACTAATACTTTTTTCCCCAAATTTTCAAAAAGCGAGGGGTGATTAAATACCACCAAAAGAAAGCTCTGTCTCAAAAAAATAATTTCATATGGGTACAGTGTTGCATGACTGAGTAGTTATTCAAAATGCGACAGTCCTGAAAGCTGAAAGTTGACCTGGGCAGGAAGTGAGGTGGTTAAACTTACTTACAATAGGCATTCAGTGATAAGGATTTGGAATGGGAAAATTTGCTGTATATTTACTGGGTTTTCTGCTTCATTTATGAATTTGCTTGTGTTAGTTACAAGATGAAGTTACACAGTTTTGTCATGCATTCAGGTTTTCATGTGATCACTTAAGCTGGCCATAGATGGATCAATATTCAGCTGGTTCAACAGGAACTGGCTGAATTTTGAACCATCTTTGGACATTTCTGCTCGGGAGAAGTCTATCATTAGAATGGGGATTTTGGAAATCTTTTGTTCGGTTAGTGCTGCAATGTTGATCAGTATATTCTGACAGAGGAGACCCCTGTCATAATTCAATAGATCAGTGGGGAGGATTCCCCTATACACCTTGATTGTATGAGGGAAATCCGCTGGCTGATCAAAAAGAATCTATCCATCTATGGCCAGCTTTGAACTAATGGAGGTGCATTTTCCCCCTTTCTCTTCCACTTTTTTTTGTTTCTTCTATTAGTGCTGGACAGATTGAATGCAACACGTTATCGATTATGGTTTTTCAGAGATCTGTATCCTCTGTTTATGCATGATCATTCTTTAGAAGACACATTTTATATAGTGGTGCATCGAAATGGAAATTCTGGTGCCGAAAACGAAAATTCAAAATGCACTTGGCCGAAAACCGAAATGTGCAGTTTTTAAAAAAAGAATATTTTTTTTTGGAAAAAAATACACGTTGATTAAAAAAAACAATATATACCCCAATTGTTTTGTAAAATATGTAAGAGGATGTTACGTTAAACTAGATACCCAACATGTCACGCTTTAAAATTTCGCACACTCGTAGAATGGCATGAAACTGCTGTACTTAAATCTCCATGGGTGATGCTTTAAAAATTCCTACAGGTTAGTGTAATGTTGCAGAGGAGGTCTAGTGCAAGAATTATTGCTCTTGCTCTGACATTCGTGGCGATAACCTCGCGTGTGATTTGAACACCATTTACATATGTGGGCATGGCCTATGTATGTGTTCACCACTATGTGCTAATAGGGGGACCCGGGGCACTTTAAACTTTTTTTTAAAAATGTGTTTACAATTTTGTTTTTTTTTTTTAAAGGAACAGTGCAAAAAAAAATTAAACACATTTTTATTCTTATCACAAGAAATTCATGCATCATTTGTGATGGGAATAATTAGTGACAGGTCCTCTTTATGGAGAGATGTGGGGTCAATAAGACCCCACATCTCTCCTCTGCAATGTAAAGCATTGGATCAAAAAAGCATTGATCTAGTGCTTTAAAAAATTAAATAAACGGAAGTGACATCGCTTCTGTCCTCCAAGGGTATAGAAATGTGTGGTGGCCATCTTTTCTTCACCCATCTCTATGCCCTGCGCTGGGATTGATGGTTTCTTAGGTAAGACTGAATTACCAAGCGGCCGGCGGCTTTGAGGGGCAGGTTTTTTCGGCATCTGTATCAGTGCTTTTTTTTTTTCATTTTCAACCGACAGCCGAAAGGCGAAACGTTTTGGCCACCGGAATTTGATGCATCCCTAATCTTATATACTAGAATTCATTTTAAGCCATTTCTGAGGTTATACTTGTATTTCACCAAGAGGCACATAAAATATTGTGTAACAATGTGTTATGATCCTAATACCTTTTTTATAATACAGTAAATGCAATGACTTTATATCTTTTCTATTTCTGTGTTTAGAGCGGCTGTAAGCGTGGATCCCTTCTATGAAATGCTGGCTGCCAGGAAAAAAAAACGGATCTCTGTCAAGAAAAAGCAACAGATGCAGCAGCAGCAACAAGAACAGTCTTAAAGGCAGATATGATATTGGAGCAGTTTTGCCTTTTGTGGCCTGCAGCCACTTCTGGGCACTCTTTGGAAAGATGAGGACAGTGATGAGCATGGTATTCCATTGGCTGTGTAATGTGAAAACCAGGAGGGCTATGGCATCAGACACAGGATCTTTGTGGCTGCAAGTGATGCAACTTTCAAGATCCTAACAGTTTTCTCGTTCAAGGATCCAGTTCTGTGTTTAGCAGTGATAGCCACAGAGTTTTGTGGTATTTGGGCGTCTGCCATTTCTCTCTGTGTAAAATATTTTGGTTCACTAGGACTCGAAGCCACGTTGGCAAGTTAGTTTTTTGTGATAAATTAAAAAAAAAAAAAAAAAAAAGTCTGCATGGAAGAGCAATACAACCCACAACCTAAGCATTTCAACAGCACAAAATGTTAAGGACTGTAACTCCACAGTTTTTGTTAAAACAATATTCTGTTCTTCCAAAAAAAAACAAAAAAACATTTGAACTCTTACCACTCATCACTGATGGTGCTTGAAGGTTCCGAAAGACAGTTGTCATTCTACCCTACAATATCTTTTGTTTAGTATTTATAGAAAACCGCTTGTATGCATATAGAAAATTTTGGTGTTAAGGTCATAGAACAATTGCTGCAGAAATGTTCTTAACAACCTTGATTGCTTTATATGTGAGCTGGTAGAGCACTGTAGCTCCTGGAGGTCCAAACGTTTTTCATTTCAAGACACCATGCAGCCCAAATCTCCTGATTCTTTTTCTGACTCTTAGGTGTTTTATGGGTCCAGGAAACCTATACTGGGGGTGGATAGGCTGGATATCTAAACAGCTGATGGAAAGCCGTGACACAATGTGTGTGGACCAGGTCCGGGCTGTATTAGTCTTGCCACTGGCCAGGAGCAGGATTACTTCTACACAGTACCAGCTATATTACTGCTCTGGAAAGCAGTTTATGGCCACTGTGCAGGTGTGTGTGTGTGTTTGTTTTGTTTGTTTTTTTTTTTTTTTTTTTTTTTTTATCAGGTCAGCAATGGCAGCCTTTTTTTTATCAGGTCAGCAATGGCAGCCTACAAATTTCTTTCAGTATAGGTTTCTTTTTAAAGTATGCGTAAATATTGGTTTGAGAATACCTATAGACATTCTAGTCATTCCTTCTGAAATCAGCAAACTGGGTATCAATAATCCAAAGAATGCTTTAAATCTGAAGACCTCAGTGGCCAATAGGAATGCAAAGGAGGTCGGAAGGATCAGACAAGCTACAACGTTGCCAGGAGTGCTAAGCTTTTCCCATCAAAACAGCCTGTTATTTTAGTGTGATGAGAGGGTTTGGTTGGCTTGGCAGACACCCATACCTGCAGCAGTTTTTGGTTTTGTTCCCCTATATGTGTATAGTGTGTAGAGGAACTTATATGATTGCTTTACAGCATTTTTTTTTTTTTTCAAAGCCGGTCTAAATATTTACTCAGAGAGATCATAGTAATGCCAGATTTTCCTCCCCCTTCCCACATAATGTGGTTGAGCTGAGTAAAATGTAAGAACGGTCTGGATAAAAGCGCACAGATGTGTCCCAAAGGAAATAAGTGAATGGTATATGTCAACTATGATTGGTGGAGAAAAAACTCACTGCTGCCATGGTTAAAACACATCGGTTTGTGGGAGGTATAAACAGGAGCCAGGCGCTGTGTAGTTTTGTGATAAAAATAATACACCTTGTATGGAGGTGTGCCTTTAATAATTCATATGGTAAAAAAATAAATAACCAGCCTGTGGCTTTAGGAAGCCAGGTTCCAAGATGGACGGCCCGTCCGCTCAGAGGGAAGCAGTGGAGTAGAATGCCTGTCAGTGCAGGGACCACGTTTACCCGACGTCCCAGCGTCCTGGATGACGTCACCACGATGTGGAGAGACAGAGGGGGGGAACTCTTGCTGGAGCCGCAGCTTTAGAAGGAAGAGGCCGGTTGCTGGGACAACATGTTTCGCGCACATGCGCTTTGTCAAATCTCAAGAGACTTGCGTGCGAAACATGTTGTCCCGGCAACCGGCCTCTTCCTTCTAAAGCTGCGGCTCCAGCAAG